TTTTTTTATTTTTTTTTTTTTTTTTTTTTTTTTTTTTTTCTTTATTTTTACATACATTTTATAACATTTGCATTGTGAATAATAATTTCACCTTTGAACGTGATATTTCATAAAATAAAAGAATTTTAAAAATTATTTCAGGAAATTGACATTTTTAATTGATATTAATATTTAAAAATAAGATTATCCAATATATTTATAAATACTAATGTATATTAAAAGGAATTTTTTTTTTTTTTTTTTTTTTTGCAATTTAAAAATTCTGTATTTTTTAATTACATTGTATTGTGACATTTCTGATGAACTTTAAGTTTTTTAATTTTAAATAAAATTTGAAAATTAAAAAATGTAATAGATCAAGTGTTATTAAGTAAAAATTTATAAAAAATTCAACGTTAATATGACTGTTATCATTATGAATATACATTAGTATTCAATTGAAATACATATTATATGTATTTCACTTTTCTTTTTATTTATATTTTTTAACATATTTTTCTATTAACTTTTTTTCTTTATTTTGGTTTTTTCATTTTCTTATTTCATTTTTTAAATATGAAAAGTTATATTTTAATATTCTATTAAATGATAATATGTGTATATTTAACATAGATGTTTTTATTTTTTTTTTTTTTCATTTAGTACAATAAAAAATTAAATCACACATTACAAAAAATTTAAGAATTTTGTATCTTTGCATTAAAAAAAATGATATTTTAAAATTTTAAATTTATCATATTTTAACTTTATTTCTTTTTATTTTATATTTTGTATAACCTTATTTTTATATTTTTTTATATTTTTTTAAATAAATATTTGGTTAAATTGAGATTGAAAAAAAAAATATATATATATATATATATGTATATAAACTTTTTAAAAATTTTACATTTTATTCTTTTAAATTAAAAATTTTTCGTTTTTGTTTCTTTTAAAAAAAAAGAAATAGAAAAAAAAAAAAAAAAAAAATGAACTATGAAAAAAATGCTAATATAGAGGATAGTAATGATTTACGTTTATATAAAGATTTTACTTTTGATATGTTAAGTGATGAATTTGTAAAAAATAAAAATAAATTAAATTTTTTAAAAAATTTAAATACTCATGAAAATAATAAATTAAATGTAACTGAAGTACATAATAAATCGTTAAATTTTTTAAATAATAAAAATAATTTAAATTATGAGAAAAATATATATAATATGAACAACCATACACTAAGAAAAGAAGCCTCTGAAAATTTTAACAGTTTTTCAAACAAAAACTTAAATATAAATGCAACTAATTATAATAAATTTGTTAAAAATGAAAATAATAAATCTTTTGAAAAAATAGAAAACAGTAATAATAATAATAATAATAATAATAATAATAATAATAATAATAGCTTAAATAATTATTCAAATAACTATTTTTCCTATGATGAAAACATAGAAAAAACTGATCATAATGTAGAATCAAATGAACAAATTCCTTTAAAAACTAATAATTTGTATTCTCATATTTCTAATGCATACATAAATTCATCAACTACATCGAATTATTGTTTAAATGAAAGCTCTTTGAAAATAAATGCAGATGAAAATTTTAAAAGAGAAAGCAAATTAAATGAAGATAAAATAACAAATATATCAAATAATTATAACATATCTATAAATTTATTAAATAACGTTGAATGCGTAAATAATTTACATAAAAATTCAAATATAAATGATAAAATAATACAAAATAAAAAGGAAATGGAAGAAAAAAATGAAAACTCTTATTCTAGTGATTTTGATAAATTAAAAAATAGTGAAGAAAAAAGAAATGATACATATAATAACTCAACTATTAAAGAAAGTGAAACAAAAGGAAAAGTCGAAAATCATTTAACTCCTAACACATCTGAATCAAGGTTAAAAAATAACTTGAATCCTTTTTTTGTACAAAATTCTGAATTTAGCCGCACAGATAAAAATTTAATAAAAGATTCTGAAGAAAGTTACTTAATAAGTAATAGTTTGTATAATAATTGTAAAAAAACTAATGTAAATAATTATGTTAATGATAGTATTACTAACATAAATAAAAATATTGAAAAAAATAAGAACGATATAAATAGAACTTTAATGTATGATAACACAAAGAATAACAAACAAGGCATAGATAATATTCAAAACGATAACAATAATAATAATAGCATAAATGAAATGAGGAAAAAAGATTCCTTTGAAATTAAAAATGATGAAAAAAATATAAAAATTCAAAGTATTTCTAAAATAGGTACAAATAATTGTAGTATAATGAAAAATTCAATTAATCAAAAAGAAGGTAGAAATTATTTAAATGATGAACTAATTGATAATAAACAAAACAGTTCAATTAATATTATTTTTAACAATACTCCTAGTGAATGTAAATACATTAATAATAGCTCATTAAATGATATTTATATAAATAATTTGAAAATAGGTAAAATGGATAAAGTAAATACTTCAAAGAATGAAGAAAAAAATATAATTCAAAACGTAACAGACAGTAATGATATTAATGCAGAACATAATAACGAATTATCAATTTATAACAGAAAATGCAAAGAAGTAAATAATTATGAAGTATCTATAAGAAATTGTAGAAACGCTGATCATGCATCAGATTGTAACAAAAATAATATCGCAGTTGATAAAATTAATTATAAAATGTATAATAACACGCAAAATAAATTAGTTAATGAATCATCTTATGTTACAAATAATGACATAAATAATCAAATTAATAATAACAATATTAATCATCAAATGTATTTTGGCATGAATACTCAAGTATATAATAATATGAATAACAATGAATTATATGATAGTAATAATAATCATAATAACGTTGACATGAATAGGAATATACATAACAAAAATATAAATAATCAAATATACAATAATGATATAAATAATCAAATATATAATAATGATATAAATAAGCAAATACATAATAATGACATAAATAATCAAATACATAACAAAAGTATAAATAATCAAATACATAACAAAAATATAAATAATCAAATATATAATAATGATATAAATAATCAAATACATAATAATGATATAAATAATCAAATATATAATAATGACATAAATAATCAAATACATAATAATGATATAAATAATCAAATATACAATAATGATATAAATAATCAAATATATAATAATGACATAAATAATCAAATACATAATAATGATATAAATAATCAAATACATAACAAAAGTATAAATAATCAAATACATAACAAAAATATAAATAATCAAATATACAATAATGATATAAATAATCAAATATATAATAATGATATAAATAATAAATATTATAATAATGATATAAATAATAAAATATATAATAATGATATAAATAATCAAATGAAATATAATGTGAATAATAAAGCATATAGTAATATAGATAATAATGTATATAATAATATGAATAGTGAGGTATATAATAATTTAAATAATCAAGTATACAATAATACAGATAATATAGTATATACAAATGTAGGTAATAAAATATATAACAGTGATGAGAATCAAACACATAATATTATAAGTAATAAAATATATAATAATATGAATAATGATATGTATAATAATGTAAATAATCAAGTATATAAAAATATAGACAATGAAGTGTATAACAATGCATATAGTGGCACATATAATAATGCAAATAATAACATATATAATAATGAAAATATTCAAGCATATAACAATGTAGATAATAATATATATAATAATATGGATAATACAGAATACAACAATACGAATAACACATTGGCATGTTATAATTATAATCAAAATAAAATTAATGAATCAAATACTTATTTTAATAACAATATAAATAATGAATTAATTAGTACACAAAATAACAATATGCATAGAGAAAATGCTGCTAATAATAGAGAATTTAACTCAGATTCCAAGCATGAGAAAGATTTAATTAAGGAAGAAAAAGAAATGAATAAAAAAAAAAATGAAACATATGAAGATGAAAAAGACTTATCATTTGAAAAAGAAAGTTCGAGTGATGAAAATTCAAGTGATTATGAGAATTCAATAACAGACAAAGGCGATGTGTACACTTTAATTAAGAAAACTTTTAATCGTATAGATATGAATAAAATTCCAAGACCTATAATTAATTGTTATGAGAAAAACAGCAGAAGAAACTTAAAAGTTTTTGAAACATGCAAGTATATATCTCCGCCTTCTTTTTTTCAGCCATATATATCTATTGACACTGGTAAAGCAGATCCTCGCTTTATTAAAAGTACATTATATCAAATCCCATTATTTTCAGAAACATTAAAATTGTCTAAAATACCATTTGGTATTATAGTAAATCCTTTTGCTTGTTTAAATGAAGGAGAAGAAGTAGATAAAATTGATATGAAAGATGTCATAAATGATAAAGAAGAAAATATAGAAATATTAAGATGTCCAAAATGCTTCAGTTATCTGCATGCAACCATATTAGAAGATTTATCAAAATCAAAAAATTGTGTTTTTTGCGAAACTTCATTTTTTATTAATGAAAATATTTTATTCGATATATATCAGTATAATGAAAAAATAAATCAAAGAGAAAATGAAAAATATGGAACTATTTCTCCTTTATTAAAAGGAAGCGTAGATATTTTATTACCTCCCATATATTTTAATAATTACAATAATATAAAATTATCCTATACTTATTTGAACAAAAACATTAATCAAACAGCTACCATGATAACAAATAAAATAAAATCATTTACGAAACAATTATCAAATTCTTTAGTTACTTATGATGTAAAAGGATCTAATATGCAAAATATGAACGATTTATTTAATGAGACATCAGAAACTAATAAGAAAATATCTAATAATTTTTGTAATGATCATTCTCAAAGTAATGCAGAAATAATAAATAATGTAAATTTTAATTTTAATGAAATAAAGAATATGATAAATGAAAAAAAAGGAGAATCTGAAGAATATAAATTAAAAAGAGATAGTTTTTTATCAAAGTATCCTCATATTAAGAAATGTTTACCTCCTTATTTTGTATTCGTTGTAGAATGCTCTTATAATGCAGTATATAGTAATATAACTCATACCATATTGGAAGGAATTAGATATGCAATACAAAATGTTAAATGTGATAAAACAAAAATTGCTATTATTACATTTAACAGTTCAATACATTTTTATAATTGTAGGAAAAATAATAATAACAATCAGGTAATTGTAATGAGTGATATAGAAAATCCTTTTATTCCTTTACCACTAAGTGATTTATTTTTTGGGTGTGTAGAAGAATTAGACAAAATTAATAATTTGATAGATGCCATTAAATCAATTACAAGTACCATGCAATCATATAATTCATGTGGAAATAGTGCTCTAAAAGTTGCTATTGATATTTTAAAGGAGAGAAATGGGGCTGGAAACATTTGTATGTTTTATACTTCTACCCCAAATTGTGGGATTGGAGCAATAACAAAGTCAAAAAGGGATTTACAAGAAAATTTCTCGGAAGTAAAACAAAAAATATTTTATGATTCCTTATTACTAGATTTATATTCTTATAATATTAGTGCAGATACATTTATTATTTCATCAAATAATATTCATATTTGTGTACCCTCCTTACAGTATATTGCTCAAAATACAGGAGGAAAAATATTATTCATTGAAAATTTTATATGGCAAAAAGACTATAAAGAATTATATATGAATATAAGAGATACTTTAACATCAGAAGATATAGCTTATTTTTGTGAATTAAAATTACGGTATTCCCAATATGTAACAGTAAAGAATTTATTTTGTTGCAATAATAATTTTAATTCAATAATTAGTGTTGATACCATTAAAATACCTAAAATAAGATATGATCATACTTTTGCCTTTTTACTTAATTATTCTGACATTTTAGAAACAAAAAAACATTTGTATATTCAATGTGCATGTATTTATACTAATTTAAATGGAGATCGTTTTGTTCGTTTGCATACAACTCATATGAATTTGACCACTTCTTTAAGCACTGTTTTTCGATATACTGATGCAGAAGCATTAATGAATTTATTAATTAAACAATTATGCACAAATATTTTACATAATGATAATTATTCAAAGATAATAATAGATAATTTAGCTGACATATTGTTTTCTTATAGAGTAAATGTACGAAATAAAATATAACTTATCTAAATAAATTATAAAAATATAAATATATTTAAGAAATTTTCCATATACATATATTTGTATCTTTATCCATGTATATATATATATATATATATATTTTTTTTTTTTTTTTTTTTTTTTTTTAGTGCGCTTCTTCTGCTCATTCAGGTCAATTAATTTTACCTGATACCTTAAAATTATTACCTCTATTTACATCTTCTTTATTGAAACATAATGCTGTGAAAAAAGAAGTCTCTAATGATTTAAAAGTTTATAGTTTAATAAAATTAATATCATCACCGATTATATCATCTCTTTTGTATGTGTATCCTATTACTTATTTAATTCATATAAAAGGGAAGATAAATGAAATTGATTCAATGGATATAGACGATGAATTATTTCTCCCTAGAACAATACCAACAAGTGCAGAAAAAATATATTCAAATGGCATATATTTAATGGATGCTTGTACTCATTTTTATCTTTATTTTGGTTATCATTCTGATGTGGATTTTACAACTGAAGTAAATTATTATTTTTTAATTTAATTATATGAACCTTATATTTATATAATGGAAAAAAAAAATTTTTTATTCATATTATATCTAATTATATTTATTATATATATTATTTTTTTTAAAGGTTATAGGAGAAATACCAACAGAACAAAATTATTATGAATTAAGTTTGACAGATAGTATTAATGCTAGTAATAATAAAAATTTATTTATATATATTAATGGATATATATATATAAAATAACATGATTATCAAAAGGAAACTACATATTTTTGTTAAATTTTACATAAATTTTTTGCTACTTTTTTTTTTTTAACAGAGAAAATTCAACGCATTATTCTTAACATAACTAGAATTTATCATTTTAATAAATATATTCCATTAATGATAATTGCACCAAAGTATATATATTTAAAAAAAAAAAAAAAAAAAAAAAAAAAATTAAAATTAATATATAAGAATACGTAAATTTAATAATTTTTTTTTTTTTAGATCTAATCAAGAATCACATTTAATGTCCTTGTGTGTTGAAGATAAAGTTGATAAAGAGTATAGTTATGTTAATTTCTTATGTTTTATTCATAAATTAGTACATAAGAAAATTGATGAGTCATGAGAATATAAAAAGTATAACATAAAAAATGTTTACTTTTATTTATAAAATATATATGAAAAAAACATATTTAAAGATATGAATCACATATCTCAATATAACATAGTATTTTTTTTTTTTTTTTTTTTATTTATTTATAAAATTTCATAAACATACATATATATAAGTATAATTATAATTTAAAAAATAAAAACTACTTAATTTTTTTTAATTAATTGTTTTTATAAACTCTATATATTAATAAAATTTGTTTCATAACAATTTTTATTTTTAAATATTTCCTACGATTTGTAAAAAAAAAAAAAAAAAAAAAAAAAGAGAGAAATATATTTATTTAAAACCATAATTTCGATATATAAAATTTATTCGTATATTTGAAAAAGTTTTTAAAATTATTCTAAAACAATATATAATTTTTGAAACATTCAAAAAGCATTAATAAAATATATATATATATAAGGTTAAATTGTAATTTTAAACTGTTATGTTAATAATATAGATAACACTTAAAAATTTTTTTTTTTTTTTCGAAAAATAAAGTTTTATGAAATATATATAAGAATATTAGATTAAATTTATTTGTAACATTAATTAAATAATTAATATAAATATATAAAGCATATAGAATAATATTGATAAAAATAAAACTCATGAAATATATTTGTGAAAATACAAGTATCATTTTACTTTATTTTTGAAGTATACAATTCTTTAAAAAAAAAAAAAAAAAAAAAAAAAAAAAAAAATTAAAAA